ACGCATGTTATAGATATAGGTGTGTTGTATAGTCGAAGACGTGTTAAATGCGCATGTTATTGATCTTGGTGTGTTGTATAGCCGTAGACGTAGGAAATACGCATGTTATAGATATAGGTGTGTTGTATAGTCGAAGACGTGTTAAATGCGCATGTTATTGATCTTGGTGTGTTGTATAGTCGTAGACGTAGGAAATACGCATGTTATAGATATAGGTGTGTTGTATAGTCGAAGACGTGTTAAATGCGCATGTTATTGATCTTGGTGTGTTGTATAGTGGTAGACGTAGGAAATACGCATGTTATAGATATAGGTGTGTTGTATAGTCGAAGACGTGTTAAATGCGCATGTTATTGATCTAGGTGTGTTGTATAGTCGTAGACGTAGTAAATACGCATGTTATAGATATAGGTGTGTTGTATAGTCGAAGACGTGTTAAATGCGCATGTTATTGATCTTGGTGTGTTGTATAGTGGTAGACGTAGGAAATACGCATGTTATAGATATAGGTGTGTTGTATAGTCGAAGACGTGTTAAATGCGCATATTATTGATCTATGTGTGTTGTATAGTCGTAGACGTAGTTAATACGCATGTTTTAGATCTAGGTGTATTGTATGGTCTTAGACGTGGTAAATACTCATGTTATAGATCTATGTGTGTTGTATAGTCGTAGACGTGGTAAATACTCATGTTTTAGATCTAGGTGTTTTGTATGGTCTTAGACGTGGTAAATACTCATGTTATAGACCTAGGTGTGTTGTATAGTATAGTCGTAGACGTGTTAAATGCGCCTGTTATTGATCTAGGTGTGTTGTATAGTCGTAGACGTAGTAAATACACATGTCATAGATCTAGGTGTGTTGTATAGTCGGAGACGTGTTAAATGCGCAAGTTATTGATCTAGGTATGTTGTATAGTAGTGGACGTGGTAAATACGCATGTTCTAGATCTTGGTGTGTTGTATAGTCGTCGACGTAGTAAATACGCATGTTTTAGATCTAGGTGTGTTGTATAGTCGTAGACGTAGTAAATACTCATGTTTTAGATCTAGGTGTGTGTATCGTCTTAGACGTTGTAAATACTCATGTTATAGATCTAGGTGTGTTGTATAATAGAAGACGTGGTAAATACTCATGTTATATATCAAGGGTTTGTTTTATAGTCGTATACGTGTTAAATGTGCATGTTCTAAATCTAGGTGTATTGTATAGTCGTAGACGTGGTAAATACTCATGTTCTAGATGTAGGTGTATTGTAGAGTCGTAGACCTGGTAAATACTCATGTTATAGATCTAGGTGTGTTGTATAGTCGTAGACGTGTTAAATACGCATGCTATTGATCTAGGTGTGTTGTATAGTCGTAGACGTAGTAAATACGCATGTTATAGATCTAGGTGTGTTGTATAGTCGTAGACGTGTTAAATGCGCATGCTATTGATCTAGGTGTGTTGTATAGTCGTAGACGTAGTAAATACGCATGTTATAGATCTAGGTGTGTTGTATAGTCGTAGACGTGTTAAATGCGCATGTTATTGATCTAGGTGTGTTGTATAGTCGTAGACGTAGTAAATACGCATGTTCTATATCTAGGTGTGTTGTATAGTCGTAGACGTGATAAATACTCATGTTCTAGATCTAGGTGTATTGTATGGTCTTAGACGTGGTAAATACTCATGTTATAGATCTAGGTGTGTGTATAGTCGTAGACGTGTTAAATGCGCATGCTATTGATCTAGGTGTGTTGTATAGTCGTAGACGTAGTAAATACGCATGTTATTGATCTAGGTGTATTGTATAGTCGTAGACGTGGTAAATACTCATGTTATAGATCTTGGTGTGTTGTATAGTCGTAGACGTAGTAAATACTCATGTTTTAGATCTAGGTGTGTTGTATAGTCGTAGACGTGTTAAATGCGCATGCTATTGATCTAGGTGTGTTGTATAGTCGTAGACGTAGTAAATACTCATGTTATAGATCTAGGTGTGTTGTATAGTCGTAGACGTAGTAAATACACATGTT